TAGTTAGTTTGCTATGGGTAATGCATTTCAAAACACAACAAAGTATTGAAAACGCTCTTCAGTGTTTACTATTATCATCCTCCCCCCTGATTCAGATAGCACGTACGACGCTGTCCGGAAGAAGTTGGCACCTCGTTGCTTGTAGAAAACCTCACGCGCAGCCATCACCGTCGGGATCTGAGCAGCCTGACCTACCGATAGGTTTAAAATGGACTCAAAAATGATACCCATGGCCAATTGTGCGTCTGACGTGTCGAACTGGTAGTAGACACTTGAACACAGTAAGGCGATGACAGTACTCATGATCATACGCCCAACCATGGCCGACATTTCCCGCCTTGTGATCATGATCTCTCGTTTCATCAGTAGTAAAGTACTGGCCCAGAAACTCTGTGAGAACTCTGGATGAGTCACCATATGCGTCTTCATATCCTCAACAAGACTTGGTGCTACTGGGTCTTCCAGGTCACTTAGCGTTTGACCGTAAATTGTCGAGCGTTTGAACGCATCGGCGAATTCACTGGGAGTACGGGGGATGACTCCACCGTCGAGTTTCACTTCGTACTGGTACTGTTTGTTGGTACCAAGATCCAGTAAGAAATCTGCCACATCTCGAGACGGAGGACACTTGAAGCCAAGGTTTTCGAAGTAACCCAAAGCTTCGTTGCATGTTCCATGGTACATGAGGTGACCAGCGTTCAGAATCATCACGTCGTCGAAGAGAGCGAACACCTCGGGCGACGGCTGCAGCAGAGAGATCACTACAGTCTTGCGGAACTTCTTGGCCAGACTGCGCTGCGTCGTGATGATATCGAACGTGGCGGCGCTGTCCAGTCCCGTGCTGATCTCATCCATCATCATCACGTACTTGTTCCCGAACGCCATCTCACCTGTCGTCACGCGCTTACGCTCTCCACCCGACACACCACGCAGCATGGCGTCGCCCACAATTGTATTCTGGCAGTTCTCCAGTCCAAGCTGCTGGATCACAACGTCCGGGTAGTGTTTGACTAGTGCCTGAGCTGCCTTCAACGCCTCGGCGTTCTCGTCCGGAGTTCCGTTCACCAAGTGACTCGCATCATGTTCGGACAGTTCCCCACCACACGCAGCATGGGCGAACGCCAGCGTCTCCTTCACAGTCAGTTCGGGGTAGTGTTTGTCACGTTGTGGTACATACGACACCAACTGGGGCAGTCGCTTGTGTAACTCGTCCGCCGACGTGCCATTGTATGTCACCTCCCCTTCGACCGAGACGCTCTTGTCCTTCGGGAAGCGTCCACTGAGTAGCTTCATCAACGACGACTTGCCCGACCCAGGCTGACCCAGAACAAGCGTGATGGTTCCTGGTTTCAGTACGCCACTCACACCTCTCAAGATACGCTTGGTCACTGTGTGTTTCTTGGCGACCAAACCATGAAGAGTCTTCATCATCTCGTTCGGCAGTGTGGGTAGCTGAACCTCCAGGTCACTCGCGTCCTTGACCACGATGTCCGCTGAGATGGATACGTCCTTGAAACGCACCTCCATCTGAGGCAGAGCCTTGCCCAACGATGTCTCCAAGCGTGAAGCCACATGCTCGTGTAGTGCCAATGGTCCTCGAGCCATCAGAGTTTTGCCATCGTCGTACCCGATCGCTGGGGCGAGTGGCTTACCACCAGCAGTTGCAGTCATGGTGCAGTGTTAAACGTGGTGATCTTCAGTTGGATTGATGCTGGAGATGCAAAATTGAGGAATGGCATTTGGATGTGTGTACTGTTGGTGTGATTGTTGGACATCCCTATGCCTGGCAATCGTAGCTGTTTACGATACCCTGGTTGGCCTGATAAACCTGTGGATTACGCTGCTGATTGGTTGAATCAGATTCTGATACCAATTTGAAATATTGTAATCAAAATGGTCCAATAGCAATATTTTTAATGTAGACTTTTAAAAAATAAAAAATATTTTGAATAGACAATTATTGTCATGAATCGAGAAATGTGAGAAGTGAATCGACTACTTTTAACTCTGATACATTCAGGCACCCGGGATACTGGTAGTAACTACAGGTGCATTTATATAGCGTTGCTGCACGTGCAGCCGCGTTTCACACAACCTGCTTCCAGGGCACTGCACCTCAAACGTTGAACAGTATCAGAATCTGGTAACGATGCTCGTATCGTGATCATTGTGGACGGAGCATCCCATTGCTTGGAGGATATAACCTGCGAAACAAAGACTGTACGGCAGTTACTTTAGCAGTATGAGTTTCAGATGATATTCGAACTTGGCCGGGTCATTTCTCCAGAATTAATAGCTGCTTACACGCAAAGTGCACCTAGCGCTGGCAGAATTAGCTCCCCACTTTTGTAACTAATTCATTTTAGTTTGTGACATTATGGAGAACCTCACCTCATCACTGGTTGCATGTTGCTGTAGTCTCAGGTCGAGGTTATCCCTACGAATGATACTTGCCCATAAGGAACCAGATCGTAAGATGATAGTATTAGCTGTTATAACTCGCTTGTTGGAAAAAAAATTTTTTAACAAGAGCAAACGGCTTGCGCAACAGAACTACAGGCAGAGAATTGCTAGGTACAATACCGGTAGTACTCACGCTCTACTTGTAAAGTCATGGGGGTATTGGCGACTACTGTACAATGTACATGTACTTCCACCAAATTGCATTGCCGTCGCTAGAATCCAGACGTGGGTTAACTTTGTCGTCACGTCATGACCGTTGAAGTTTCGGTGAACAATGGTGATCCCGCTCGCGCTCCGATCTTGAGCTTGGGCATCGAAGAAAAAGCGTGTCAAAGCACTGTCTATAGAGCTACAATTTTACAATCGATTGATTTTGATACTCGCGGGTGGAGCATAGAGCGCCAGTATGAAGCAGACAAGCCGCAAAATACAACACGAAAAATTGTGCTTGTCCGTTCCACGCGAAGCGACGACCGATTGACCTCCATTGGTACATCATGTACATGTACTACATGCAAGTACTTCAGTGGAGAAACACTTTTGCGCTTGGTTGCGTTTCGAGCTCGACTTTCCATTCTTGGCCCTAGAGCTACTTGAGAAGGGCCTTGGTATGACGTCAGTACTAGTAAAGTTTATTGTTGTGTCAAATCTTTGAGCTCCGGTTCTTCAAATGAAAGTTTGGACGTACAGGATGTCGTGGCTCCGATTTAGTTTCAATTTCTGGCCCGGTTTGGCTATATCTGCCCCACTTAAACACAAAAGAAGGTGTTTTAGAGGCCTACGACTCAAACTCGTGTGTTGAATGAGAATACAGGAACGAGCAACCAATTAATAACTACCTAGAGACAAGTCTGACCAGGTTTTAGAGCAGTAGCTTCTTTTAATTACTGCAGTTTACCGCGGCGTTTACGGTCGGCGCAATCCTGCGGACACCAAAAGCAGATCCCTCTGATTCTCGACTGGATCCTGAGCCATACGATTCGACACCGTACAGATGACAACCATGTGGACTTTGCTGTGGGGTCTTCCGCCTCACGTGCCTGTTGTGTAGCGTTGGCAACAGGGCCAGACACCACACATAACACCAAAGCAAATTGCTTTGCTGCTTTTGCAAACCTCACTCTCCATTCTTCCTTGTCGAACACAAGGACCTACCAACAACCTCTAAGCTTTTCTGCAGCTACTAAAGCAGTGATGAAGTTCACGACCGCCTTCGCCGTTGCCACCGCTGTGGCTTTCAGCTCCACTGATGCTGAACGACTCAAGACCGGTGTCTGCTACTCTCCGTGGCACCACCAGAACGTTAACTGGGACGTGCTGCAGAACGACATGAGGCAGGTGGCCCAGCACTTCTCGAGCATCCGTACCTACGAGGCTTCGCTGGCCGGTGTGAACGCGGTCGACATGGCTGCTGCTGCCGGCATTCGTGTCGCTGTGGGTGTGCAACTGCAAAACCCCGGCCGTATTGATGCGGAGATTCAGGCGGTGTGTGAAGGCTACGCTCGCAATCCGTGGGCCGTCGAAGCTGTCTACGTCGGCAACGAGGACATGCAGAACGGTGGATTCGGCAAGTTTTCGGCCGACCAGCTCGTCGGCTACATCAACCGTGTGCGTGCCTGTGTGGGCAACACGCCAGTCGGTTCGGTGCAGCGCATCAACGAGTGGCTGAGTTCCGATGGTGCGTGGAAGCTGGCGAACGCGTGTGACAACATCGGTGTCAACATCTACCCGTTCTTCACGCAGGGCTCGCAGCCTGCAGTGGAGAAGCTGCAGGCGCAATGGCAACAAATGGTGTCCAAGTTTGGCCCCAACAAGCTCCACCTCACGGAGACTGGCTGGCCGTACGCCGGTGAGAACTACCAGAATAACCAGCCGTCGTACGAGGGCATGCAGCAGTACCTGAACGACTACGTCAAGTGGTCTGCCGACAAGGGCCAGTCGTACTGGTTCATGATGTACGACACGACTGTGAGCTACACGGGCGCTGAGTACGAGAAGCACTTCGGTCTCTTCGGTACGGACATGAAGCCGCACGTCAACATCCCACAGTGCCCCAACCCGAACCAGCAGCAGCGTCTTCGTCGCGACTAAGCACCGAGTGTTCGGTGAGTGATAATGGAACCTACAAGGACGCCCATCATCACTGGAGACACACAAGGAGAATACAAGAATTTCAAGCCAATTGACGAACTACCTCATTACTTAGTAATTAATCAATGAACGTAATGCAGTTAAACGTTTGGCGAACTGACAATGAACTGATACTGAAATGTGCTGTCCAAAAAACTAGAAATTTTACTTCAGCAAATGAATCATAACTACTCTGATAACTCTTGAGTCCTAAGCCGACGAGTAGAACTATGGTTGAAAGCTGCGTTGCAGATCTGTGTGTGGTAAGTACTGGTCGTCAATGTCCATAACGATGGCACGTAATTGCACTTGACTTGGCATCTTCATCTTCACTCCCCCAAAAGCCTCACTCACGTGCTTCAGATACGCAACCAGATTTACGTCTTCGGCATTGGACAAAGGTCGACGGCTCTGCGCAAGCCACGTAGCGAGTAACTTATTGGCATGAGCCTGCTGTGCCGGGGCGATTGCTTTCGCCTCTGGTCGGTCTGGAGATACACTGATCTCTACTACTTCTGGTACCGGTGCTTGTATCACTTCTTGGCAACGAGGTGGAATTGTGCTGGGTCGACGCTGGGTGGCAAAAGATACGCCTGATTTATGCGTCTCTCTCCTCTCCTGGGCAGCTTCGAGATGACGCGAGTGTTTTATTGCCATGTGACTCTTGACATTGTTGGTCAAGCCTTTTTTGTACGGAATGTCCACGCCACACTTTAAACAATGAGCGCTCTTAGCATTGTCTGAGATGAGATCGTCCTTGGCTACACCAGAGAATTCATCCTTTCGAACCAACCGGATAAAGTCCCACAGTTCTGGTTTGTGAGCTCCCTTCATCCTAAACATGTTTTCAGGGGTTCTTGGTATTGTGGGATCGCGAGGGACCTCAACGACGTCAGCAGAACTCTGTTCCGTAGTCATCACTTGCGTCTGATGCGAAGGTATAGTCTCGAGGACATTTGGTCGGGTTAATGAATTTGTTAAGCGCAGACTTGGGCGAGCTGCGGATAAGTGGTCAGCGTGTCTTACTTTCATGTGTTGCTTGACCTTGTTGGTGTTGCCCTTGCTGTACGGAATGTTCTTGCCACACTTTAGGCAATGTGCGCTAACAGCATTGTCTGAGACGAGATTATCCTGAGGTATGTGAGCGCATTCATCCTTACGAACCAGTCGAATGAAATCCCACATTTGTGGTTTGTGCGCTCCCTTCATCCTGAACATGTTTTCAGGAGTTCTTGGTATGGTTGGATCGGACTCGGGATCATACAGACGCTCGCCAGCAACAAGATTTTGGTGCGTCACCGGTTGAGAGAGAGGTGTGGCCTGGAGGGCGCTTGAGTGGCTTGATAAAGCTCTCGAATTACGAGTCGGTCGAGAGGTGAGCATGTGACCAGGGTGCCTTGTTGCCATGTGATACCTGACGTAGTTGGTCGTGCCTTTAGTATACGGAATGTTCACGCCACACTTTAAGCAATGTGCTCCTTTGGCGTTGTCGGAGATGAGATCGTCCTGGGGTATGTGAGAGTATTCATCCTTCCGAACCAGTCGAATGAAGTCCCACATCTGCGGTTTATGAGCTCCTTTCATTCTGAACATGTTTTCTGGAGTTCTAAGAGTTGGGGGGTCGGACACAGGTGCGGACCCATGCTCACCGGTAGTAGCCCATTGCTGCGCCATCGGATGAGCGCTAAGTGCAGGTAGCCCAGCTCGTAGCGCGTGCTTCGGCTGCAACCTCGGTTTGTCAAAGACAATACTTACAAAATGTCACTGAACCGAGAAAAGGACATGGGTACAGTCAGCTTGGGATAAATGCAAATCACCCAAAACCTTTCAAATGTGGTTGTCAACTTTATCCCGGCGACACTTTTCTAATACCTTACATATTTTTCGGAATCCAACGTTAGAATTTTGTTACGGCAAAGATATAACCATGTACTAAATCATTAAAACAAATATTGCTATAATTACGAAACCAATTTGTTTTTCGACATCCCTGAAATGACGCCAAATCGTCGACACAGCGGGGATATTGTGAAGTACATGTACATGTACGCTGGCTCTGGCAGCTCGCCTGAGCTGCTGCCCGCTGATGGGTTCCAGACCAGCTTGTGCGATTTCTAGGTTAGTGTCACTGCAGCCAATCATCTCCTAAGTCTTGAATACACTGGAGGGCTCTCTCTGCTGTCTCCGCACAGTATTATCGAATCCGAGCTCCTGCCCTCCTGCTTGGCCTTTTGCCCAGCAATCTTATGTTAGTATATGAGTATGGTTACGACAAGAAGCAGCAGCTACTGTCAAGTGTGGAGGAAGAGCCAGGACTGCGTCCGGTCCAACCTGAGGCTCAGGTGCCTCCGGGACGCGATGCTTGCGTCCAGAAGCCGGACTTCGACGGACCATTGGCTGGGGAGCCGCCAGCCCCATCCTACTACTAATCCTACAAATACATTGCCGGGTTTTACCGTGTGCTGCTGCCCACTCGACAACTTGCGCCGTCAAGAGCAAGCAGCAGCACTGGACTTTTATTCCTGCTGGACTTTCAGTCCCTGTAACTAAACGTTGTTACGACTACTTCCTTCATCACCATGGTCACCACTCGGAGCAACCATCACTCAGCTACCACACACCTTCACAGATATATAGTTTAATAATGTGGCGAGGGGCGCGACCACACTACTGAGAACATTTTGAACTCCCTAGTATCAGCCATGAAAGTCGGAGCAACCATTTTTCTTAATAATGATTATTCCGACTATAAATTTATTAAAAAAATTGAGTTAAAAAATGATCTGATTTCACTTGTCAAAATTTGATGTTTGTTAAAAAAAAAATAGCCGTTCGGCGCGACGACATTTCGCCGAAGCAAAATTGACCACCTCCCACCTCTGCAGACGTATTAA